ACTCTTTCCTATGTGAAATATCATTCAACATACATTACCTGCTAAAATTGCTCTCAAGTGTGAAGAATAATGGATCATGGGAATTACAGATATGAATTTAACTGTAGAATTTTTTCTGTACTATTTAAATTTCAAGGCAGCCTTCGAACATTTTGACTTACTTAATATTAATGATTTGGCTTCTATAATACATATGAATAATCTAGAATTTTACTGAATACAGAGTGTGCTCTTAGACTGAAAGTGCCTTTATTTTTCCTGAAATTTTGTACAAAGATGTTGATTCAGACATTAACTTGTCCGGATTGTAAAATACCATGCCATTTCCTCACTGATTCTAATGCACTCTCTCCATCATAGTTTTCTTACATTTTAAAATAAATATATTTTTTTCCTAATACAAAGCATATTCCAATAAGTTGGATGATTTATGTATAGTGTATATCTTAAAGACAAAACATAAACACTGCTTCCCATGTCCTTAACCATCTCCTTCCCCTGAGACATTGTTTCATATGCTGTTCTGGAAGAAGGCAGTGCTTTCCGGACTGCAAGCAATGCAGGCAGAGAAGTCAGCAGAAGAGGCTTTGCCAAAGATCTTTTGAAAAATCCCCTTCTTTCGCATCATAAAATCTTCTTGGGGGCTGGAATCAATGGCTCGTGGTAATCTCTCTAATGGTTTTAGATGGCAGAAGTTTATCTTTCAGAAGTAAGGCAACCATTTATTAAAAAAAAAGTCTTCTGAATGGATTCACAGACAAATTTTTTGGTGCCCTGGGGTCCAGTTTCTGCTTGCAAAAGACTGGTGGAATTTTCTAGATATTCAGCTTTTCAGTGAATCTATAATCTTACTCAGATTTCCTATTTCATCACTCATTTTTTCAGCTGGTCACTTTTACAACATATGAGGTACAGAACATAGGTTGAAAGACATGGAGAAAATTCTCAGGAAGCATTTTTAATATGAGACAATTACGGAGCTACGTAATTTTTAGCAATGGTGAAATTTTGCAGCAAAAGTTGTCTAAAGCATGTATATCAGTGATGTCACCAACATCCAACAGAAATGTCCACCTCAAAAATTCTCATGAGGAGTTACTTCCAATGGGTATTCATATCAAAGCTCCCGTTTTAAGGAAAACACTAATATAACAGTTCCGGGGGCATCTCTGTGTTACTGATGCTCTTTTAGTCACAGTTAAAGCCTGGAGTGAGGATTATGAATAGTTTTCCACTGGTCTTAAGATGATAATGGTGGCTATTTGGTTCAACAACTGCAAGATTTTCCCAGGAAAATCCGGGGAGCACACTTTTTTTCCTTATTTTATGGCCAGAATTTTTCATGTATTTGAGAACCATTATTATGGCTCCTCTTTTCCAGACTTTTCCAATTCTTTCACTTTTCCTTGTGGATCTTAACCTTAGACTTTCATACTAAAAGTTTCATACTAAGGATTGCAAAACTGTTCTGCTACCTGTCTCTTAAAATTGCACTCTGACACTGAGACATATATTTCTAGCAAAATTTTCATGGAACTGATATACTTCCATGAAATGTTTCTTAAAAAGCAAAGCAAAGCTAAAACAAAAAAACTAAACAAAACAAAACAGAACACTAACAAATAGCTAAAATACTGTAACTATCTTTCTGAATAGAATGCAATGCCTGCCTTAGCAATTGCTGAAACGTGAATATCGACCCCCAAGCGCAGTTTATATTTACATTGAGTTCCTGCAATGCAAGGCATTTGTTTCAACAAACTAAAGTGTTGTGGGTGGGTTTTTCTCTCTATGATGATGTTGGGTGAAGCATAAACACAACCTCAAATGCAAAAAGCTGAGAAAATAGTAATTGAAATGCCAGTGTCAGGTTTTTTAGGCTCAAGTGATCCCATTGTTCAATGACATATCCAATTCAACTGAGTCAGTACTTTATAGCATTTATTTCTGTCACTTGAATAGATGGGCAGCCTCACCCACTAGTCTGCTAATGTAAAGATGGTCCAGCACTCCTGTGCTGCATCTCCCCATGTAAGAGCCCTGCCTCACTTCATCTGGAAGGATGCTCCAGAAAGACTCTCACAAAGCATATTTATCAACAAAGTTTCCCAAAACACATTGATTCTGTATTTGTGAGACACTCACTTGTTATAAACATCCCTAAACAATAAACAAAGACCTGAAGGGATGATACTATCTTTTATGGCTGCTGTAATAAAATTCTTTAGGTACCCATATTTCTGTATTCAGATCCATTTAACTTTTTCAAATGGCACTATAAAAATCAATACATACAGACAACTTTTCAGGACTGCCTTCTGCGGACACTTCTGTTCTGATCTCATGTAACACCAAAAAGCTGGAAGTAAATGTTTAGATGCCAGTTATGAAGTCATTAAACGGAATACTTCCAGGTTATTTTAATTAAGTAGTGACTAGACTCCCAATTATTTTATAGCTTAAATGTTTGAAGCTATGGATCATGCACATTGCTTTGACATGTATAACAGAAAGTGCAAATATTTTTACAAACTATAAATGTCAGTATGAGTTAGTTCATATTTCTAATGAAGACATAAATTTAGCCTGAGACGTTCATCTTGTATGCAGCAGATGAAAAACAAAAGCTTAGAAAGCTTAGAAAAGGTTAAAAAATGCCACTGAGAACACAGGTTTCACACTTTGCGATGTAAAGTTCCCAGCACTGTATCACAAATTTAAAGCAAGCTGTACAGGCCCATGTCCACAAGATTCCTTATGTGGCCCTGACTCTGCTGTAGCTGGGATCTCCACACGTGATACAGTTTTTCTTCACATCTTGTCATGGTTTAGCCCCAGCCAGCAACTAAGTACCATGTGGCCAACTCACTCACTCCTCCTGCCCCAGTGGGATGGGGAGAAGAATCAGAGGGTAGAAGTGAGAAAAATCCTGGGTTGGGATAAGGACAGTTTACTAGGACAGCAAAGGAAGAGGAAAATGACAACAATACTAATAACAGAAGATACAAAGCGGGTTACACACAATGCAATTTGCTCACTGCCCAGAACCTGATGCTCAGCCCAGCCCCAAGCAGCGATCCCTCCTCCTCAGGCAGCTTCCCCCTCCTTATATACTGAGCATGACGTCATATGGTATGGAATATCCCTTTGGCTAGTTTGAGTCAGCTGTCCTGGCTATGTCTCCTCCAGCTTCTTGTGAAAATTAACTCTATCCCAGCCAAAAACCAGGACACAGCTCTATAAGACAACGGCACTTTCCTCATTGGGAGTTAATGCAGAGGGGTTTTGCCCAACACCACACAAGACACTGGCAGAGGTCAGTGAACTCATGTCTCCCACTATCGATCAGTCGTCAAACCACTGAAGAAGCTTCTTTTTTTTCATATTTTGTACAGTGCATCTCTATATGACAGAATGACCAAGAAAGTAGCTGAAATGGGTATCGTACAGGGAAGATGGAAATGATCTAAAAAAGCTGATCTTCAAAGAGCTTCTGTGTGAACATCCTTTTCTAAACAAGTCTTTCGCAGTCTCATCAGTCTTTTCTTATTGAGCATTTTTCTGGGCGGCATGATCATGTGATAACCTGCAGGGGCAAAGAACTTCAGCATTTCCAGCTCTTCTGCCAAAACTATGAATTAACCCATGAATTTCTTCTCGCCTGTACTGTGGTAGGAACCATTCTCTGTGAATTCTGTCTATGCACTTCTGTTTCCTGCCTTAAAAGAAGTGTGGCATACAGAGCAATACTGGAATTCAAAATGAGCTTGAATCCAGGTTTTGACTGTGCTTTTATCTTTTATCTGTCTTTGAAACCTGGAGAATGGAGGGTTTGAACCCAACGTTTACAGATATCACAGCTCTTCTTTAACAGGATTCTTCAGCAAATGGAGTAGACATTCTGGCAGACATGAATGCATCCACAGTGATGAAGAAAAGCACAAAACTTCAAATAAGAAATATTCCAACCAAAGAACTATTTTTGCTTAAGTGTAGAGAAAAGAAAAAAATGGGATGGCAATGGAAGCATCAGAATTGTCCTGAACTACATTTTTGAAACTCTAATTGTTAATTTTCCCTACTGCAAAGAAAAAGAGATATTTTAATAAACCAAAAGTAACATGAAAGCCTTTGGTTTAGAAAAAACACATACATTGATTAAAAATAAATATATGACTTTCTTCTTCCAATAAGTGCCCTTATAGCCCAAGAGGTAAGGTCCAGGAAGTAAAGTTTTCATCCTTCACTGAAGCTTTAATAACAGGGAACAGCTAAAGAGGGGAAAATCAAAACTAAAGCAGGATGTTTTAAAATTAATTTATTAGATAAAGCTATTCTATATTAGATAGACAGTATTTCCACCAGTCTCTGAGCACCAATTTTTTCACCAAAAGTTGAATCCTTCACTGTACAGACTTTGCAAATACAGGCCCCTAAGGCATGCATGGCTGTGGGCAGCATCGCAAATACTTGACTTTATGGGAATCTGCAACACATCCCGCAGTGAATACACCCACATACCTCTGGAAGAAAAAAGCCTTTGCTTTTTTAAGAAAACAAATGAAAGAATGGAAACAAATGATATCTCAAAGCCTCCATCAACTGGTGCCCACCTATACTGCCTGCACAATCAAAAATCTCTAATGGAATTCACAGAAATCAGGGCATTTTAGGATATAGCCCTGAAATTCCATTCAGTGGGATTTTCTTCCACTTGCATATAACATTTGCTTAATCTCTTCCTCTCTTCCTTAAC